AAAAAAAAAAAAAGGCATTGACTTTGTCAGTTGTTAAATGTGATCGTCTTTCCTCCTTTTCTCCCCACCCTTTGTCCCCAAGTCTGCTCTGTGACCCTTATTACTTTTAAATGCTCTTGTGCAGAATTCAACCAAAGCACCTCTCAAGAGATCGAATGTGGAGAAGGTGACCAATGTGCAGATCCTGGTGTTGTTTGGCATCCTCTTGGTCATGGCCTTGGTGAGCTCGGTGGGAGCCCTGTACTGGAACAGGTCTCAAGGTGGAAAGAACTGGTACATCACGAAGCTGAGTAAGTGTCAGGGTGGGCTGCTTGCTGTGGCCGCACCATCCTTTGGTTCCCCTGGGCTACTGCATATAATGCCAGCCCTTTAGGAGCAACTGAGAGGTTAGGATCACGTGACGACCTGGAGAAGGGCACATCTGGGGTTAGTTTTATACTTGGATGATTATTTCTTAACTATTTTTTAAGGTCTTTTCTTACTGACTGCACTAGGGATTATCCAGTTTATCTAATTTAATTTATGTAAATATACTTCAGATTAATACTCACTTAGTTCCAGCCAAACACAGAGAGATCACTCCATAATTTCCTCTCCTGATTTGTGCTGTTATTGTTACATTTATCTCTGTTGTCCATCCAACAGTACAGTGTTATAATTATGACTTTATCTTTTTCTCTTAAAGAATCTCAAGGAAAAAAAGCCATTAACTTATTTATTTATCATCTTCTGAATTCTTTGTTTCTGCCTATAGATTTGAATTAACAGCTGGTATCATTCCTTTGCCGGAGGCATCTTCATTCTCTCCTCATGCCTTTGTACTGTCACATAAATTCCACCTGCATCTGAGCCCAATAAGGCAATTTTACAATGAACTCTTTGCAATTGCCTTTCTTTCAAATTCAGAAGAAAAGATAAACACAGATGTGATTTTACTGTCTTTGATAAATGCCTTTCAGATGACCTTTACTAGTGCCCTTTGTTTCTCTGTTTGGATGCTGACTGCTGTCTGGTGTCCCTTCTTTCAGCCTGGAGAACTTCCTTTAGTATTTCTTAATTTGGCAGATAGAGATTTGTTTCTAAACAAGTGTTGTACCTTAGGGACATCTGTAACCCTTGGGACTTAGAGACTATTTGGGAACTCCTGGTCCTGTAGGTGAACAAGACAGGAAATAGTATGTCAGGAAAGAAAGTGATCAGCAGGGAGACGGGAGGCTGGGTGGTGAGGAGGAGGGAAGAATGGTGGCCAGGTGACGGTGCTGACCAGCGCGTGCCTGCTCACCTCTGTTCTTTCCATCACACCTGCCCTCCAGAGTTCTAAATCTAAATCAAACTACCCCATTTCACTTAGTCTCCTGGGGAAGAACTCGCTTACAGTGGTTTGGAGCCATTCTAAATCCTTGATTTCCAATCCTAGCCCTCTGCTATCTTTATTCTGATTCCAGTTCTTCTCCTCACAGGCATCTTTAATCCCAGCTAAACCCTTAACCTGGCTGTAACTGTCTCCTTAACCCTCTTGTAAGCTCAGAGGGTCTCCCTTCTCTGTCCTTCATGTGGAATATCATGGCCATTGCAGAAAAGAACTTTTTGAGACCCCCAGGCCCTGTGTCTCTTCCCTACTCCTGCTGTCCCTTCTTGAAGCTAATCCTGCCTCTGGATTCTGTTCCCGAGCGTCTTGTTCCATGAAGACATTCCTTCTCTTATCTTTAGATAGGCTCTGCCTCTCTCCGTCTGCTTCTCTGGTTCATACTTTCCCATCTTCCAATCCTTTTACAGTGCCCCAAATCTACTCACACCTCAGTGAGGTTGTCAGTGTTCCTTACAACCAATCCAAATGCCCGTCCAGCTTTCTTCCTTCTTATGAGTCATCTGTCTTTCCTCTGTTCTTCAACTCGCTTCAGGCATTTCTTCCCCAGCTGGTTCTCAGTGACCAGACTTCCCTCCCACTAAGAAGCTCCCGGTCAGTTCCGCAGTGTCCTGCCCTGTGGTCACGTGGAGGGCACGCCTGTCTCTGCTCACTCCCCTCTCCCACAGCCCCCAGGAGAAACCAGCTCTTGCACTCAGGGTTGCTGACACATAGCAGATGCTCAGTTATTATTCTAACTTGAATCTCTAAATAAACCAATAGGCTTTTGCTGTAAACATCTTTTTAGAAGAATTTCAAAAGAAAAAAGTAAAAAAGAAATGGAATGAATCTGTAGCTAAACCAATACTCTGGTTTTCTCCCACAGACACAACCTCAGATAATTTTGGATACAACCTGTTGACATTCATCATCTTATACAACAATCTTATTCCCATCAGTCTGTTGGTGACCCTTGAGGTTGTGAAGTACACTCAAGCCCTTTTCATAAACTGGGTGAGTATTAAAGCAGAGTTTAACCTCAGTTTGCTAATACTATCTCAGCACTTTCAGCATGTAATTGAGCATCTGGAAAAGAATTTTCCATTTACCATTAGGTCCAGGAGTTTAAATCGGCCCAACAAAGAACTGGCAAGGGATCCCCACTGAGGGTGTCCCTGAGAAGTGGGGAGGACAATGGCACCTATTGGAGGGCTGTCATGAGGACTGAGATGCTGGAGGCAGAAAGCTGAGTAGGGGCTGCTGATGCTTTTAAAGTCTAAGCAGTGCTGAAGAAAAGGCCTGTGTGGTGTGTTTACTACGGTGTTCACTCTGTGTCAGAATTCATCATGACAGTAAACCTGGATTTCATTTTAAGGGGGATAGTGAGGATCATGAGTTTGAAGGGACTGCCATGGCCTGTAAGCTCTGGATCACAGTAGCCCATATCCGTAGGCCAGGTGCTTTTGTGGGCATTTTTATTAGATCTTCACTTAATGGACACTGTATTTTCACCTCCAAACTTAAAATTAGCATTTCCATGAAAACAAAAGGGTTTTAAGTTGTCTATTCTTAGTTTCTTTTTTGTATTAATCTGAATGAAAGTGTATACTGAATAATCTGAATCATGGTACGCAGTCTCTGAAATGTGTGTTTTCTCTCTCTCAGGACATGGATATGTATTATCTAGGAAATGACACTCCTGCCATGGCCAGGACATCAAACCTTAATGAAGAGCTTGGGCAGGTGAGAACCTCTCTGGAAACTTCAGTGATGTTGACGTGAGCATGAGGGGACATAAATGTTAGTAGAAGGACCATTTGTTACCAACCGTACCCCGAGTCCCTTGGTTCTTATCTTGTGGACATTGAAGAATGAGAGGGAGTGACAGAGAATGTGTCGCAAGTGCAGAGAGCGAATTTCCTGAAGTGGAAGTGTACTCTTTTTTTTTTTTTTTTTGAGACAGAGTCTCACTATGTTGCCCTTGGTAGAGAGCCGTGGTGTCACAGCTCACAGCAACCTCAAACTCTTGGGCTTAAGTGATTCTCTTGCCTCAGCTTCCCAAGTAGCTGGGACTACAGGCGCCTGCCACAACGCCCAGCTATTTTTTGGTTGTAGTTGTCATTGTTGTTTGGCAGGCCTGGGCTGGATTTGAACCCGCCAGCGCCGGTATATATGGCTGGTGCCCTAGCCACTTGAGCCACAGGCGCCGAGCCTGGAAGTGTACTCTGGAGGGTTCAGAGCAGGCATTTGTCCCAGGGGGTCTTGACCCAGGGTTTCTGAGTCACCCCTTTTCCTTTCACCTGGCCCCTCCTCCTTTGAGATACTGTCTCTTCCTCTTCTTTCTTGACCTGTGGGGGTGCTGTCTCCTGCTGTTGGGCGAGGGAGTTTTTCACCCTAGATGGTTAGGCCTGGATCTGTCATGGCACCCTAAGCTCACTGGGGGCAGAGGGGACAAAAAGTGATGTCGTACAATGTGCCTTGTGTTGTGTCTTACGTGTTTTATGACACTTTCGGGTACCTCCTCTTGTTTGTGTTACAGTATGTTTTCTTACCCAGCACCCTATTTGTTTACGTCATCTGTTTTCATCCTTTCTCTACCCGTGTCTCACTTTCCACCTCCACTCACACTCTGTGACACTTACGGTCACTCTTATTACTGTTCCTCAGTACCATTCTTCTCTCACTCAGCGTCCTGTTTACTCACACTGCCCTTCCACATTTCCTTCGTTCAAGTCTTACTTTCCTACCAAGGCTAACGCCTGGGGAGCTCTTCAAAAATACTTCTCCCTGAACACGGTTACGATGTCTGAAGAGCTGTCGTGTATTTGAAAGTATTATTAAATACAGTTGTCACTCTGTTTTGACTTGCTTTTTGAGACACCGTGATATCTTATCCCTTAAAAGTTACCTGCAAAAAATATACTGCAAAACCGGGTCTAAAAAATATACTGCAATGTCATTTCAGACCCTTTACAAAAGTTTTTAGCAGGAGAAAATGCCAGGGAAAACAATGGGTAAGACGCTCAGATATTGGGGAACCCCATAAAATATGTGGAGGCTAAAGTGTTTCCCTCACAGGTTCCAGATTTTGTCTCTGGAATGTTCCAGGGAACCAGTGTCTTTTCACCTTCACCCCCAAACTCTGGCCTTCACTGAGATGGGCTCTGCATTGTGTCTGTGTCCCTGTAAGGAATAATCGCTCTTGAATACATTGCAATTAAGGATTCTTATTTCTTATACATTTTGTTTAAATTTCCCACCAACCCTATGAGGTGGGAGCTGTATCTTCATTATATAGATAAGGAAATGGATGACTTATCCAAGGACACCTGGCGGGAATGACAGGTTGGGGAGTTCCTGCACCTCCCGGCAGTGCAGAGGCCTTGCTGAGGACGGTCTCTGCCATCCTCAGTGCTGTCCCTCTGTGACGTGGCAGGTGAGCGGTCTCCTTCATCTGAGGGTTAGAAAGCTCCCCTTGCAGAGGCAGGTCTGCTTTCTTCTTTTCTTTCCTTGAAGGATGAAGTGAATTCTGTGATGATGTGTGTAGTATTTTCGGGTTTATTGACAGAAAGTTAAGGTACAAATTTGTAGACCAAATTTGGTAATAAAATAGAACTTTGTAGACAAAAAAATTTGTAGGTGATGTTGTTCCTTTGATACAATTTTCCAAATCTACTTAGAGTTAATGGCAGTTTTTTTCTGTCTTCCCTTGAATTGTGTATGCTCATAGATGTGTCCTTGCATTCTTAGTGTAACAGGTGGGCTGTCATTAAAGGTTATGGCCTTGGCACAAAGCTCAAAGCCTCCTACCTCCCACCCCCTGCCCGGGGCTCTGGTCACATAGTGCTACGTACAGTACCCAGAGCTGGCCTTGGACCTTTACTCCCCTGTGGTTTTGCTTACATTCTCTCTTTCTAGAACGGCTTTGTTATTTCTCTTGCTGTTGAGTAAAATCTCAGTTGTGTAAGAATCAGTGAGTTCTTGGCACAAACCAGGTTAAATTTGCTTCTTTAAACCCTCCTTCAATTTTCTTTTCTTTCTTTTCTTTTGTTTTTTTTTTTTTCTCTGTGGCCCTTGGTAGAGTGCCATGGCATCACAGCTCAAAGCAACCTCCAGCTCTTGGGCTTAGGCAATTCTTTTGCCTTAGCCTCCCGAGTAGCTGGGACTATAGGCGCCCACCACAACGCCCAGCTATTTTGTTGTTGTTGTTGTTGCAGTTTGGCTGGGGCCGGGTTCGAACCCGCCACCCTTGGTATATGGGTCTGGTGCCCTACTCACTGAGCCACAGGCACCACCCTCTTCTTCAGTTTTCTAAACAAGGTTAATTTATCAGTCTTCTGTGTTCCCATAGTGGTCTTTCCAAACGTAAGTACAAAATAAGAGATCTAATTAGTGATGTAGTATCTGTTTCCCTCTGGAGACTTTTGAGCTTAGTTGAGAGTGTGGGTGTGGCCCATACAAGATCTTTGGATGCCTTTGTCAATTTAGCACGATATTCCATATATAAAGGTTCTCAGGTAAAATTGAATTAGATGGAGATGATCAAAAGATTGAAAGCATCCAAGAAGTACCTAGGATGCTCCAATAATTCATCTGAATTAGGGACACAGAGAAAGTTTACATTAGGAAGAAGTTTGGAGTTGAAACTTTGAGAGTAAGTTGAAATTCACTTGGCAGAGTGATAGCAAATCATGATAATTCCTTGTTACAAAATTTTCATTTTCTGATATTTCGAAATAATATTTTAATTTTTTTACAAGGCAGGAACCACTGCTTACTAGAACAAAGATTCTACTGAATTTTTTTATATCCTTAGATTTACTGCATATAAAACCTATAACAGCATTATTTATAGTTAAAGCATTAATTACCCTTAGGATACACCTTTCTGGTTGGATGTAATAATCACTTCAATAGCTATAATGACTTGAAGTCTTTTTGCTTTAAAAATAATTCGCAATGTATTTGTTTATATTCTAACATTAGCAAAAACTAGGTAATTGATGTTCTTAATTCCTCTTCTGTAGAAAAGGATAACAGTACTTCCCTAAACTATTCTCTGGGATCCCTGGTGACATGTAGTATCCAACAAGTCTAGACTCCTCTTTAGAAAATGAGTGAGAAACAGGCGTTTCCTCTGGAGTCAATTTTGTTAATTATTCTCCGTCCCCAATCCATGGCATTGTTTCCCAGAATGTTACACGTAGAATGATGTTAGATATCTCCTGGCCAGAGCCTTTATTTCATAGATGTGGAAATTGAGGCCAAGAAGGATGGATTGACTGTCCCAGAGTCTGTGTGACTGTTTAGTGCCCGCAGCCTGAAGGGGACTCCCTCTCCTGTCTCCTGCCCCTGAGTTCCCTCCCTCTTCCCCGTTACAGTGACCAGAGATAACATAATTTGCGCACCACAGTTGCATTGGGAATGCATCTCTTTTCATTCATTTCATCTTGTCAAGAAGCTATGCTTGTTGACCTACTCAGTGAGTTCTCATTTCAGCTCTGGGCATTGAGAACTTTGCCCATTAAATCTATAAAATTTTGCTTCTTGGCAAGTGGTATAATACATAGCAGTTCCATGCTGTCTTTGTATGCATCTCAGTTGTGACAGTGATTGAGAAGCTTCAGATTGGTTCTGTGCTATTTCAGAATATGCCTTCTTAATGCAGCGAGGGACTGGAGTCTGAAAAAGGCAGGATACTCTGGGAGCCCATGGCAATATTTTGAAGAGCAAGACTCCTTGGGGCAGGCTTTATTGCTTCCACCAGTGTTTCTAAGATGGAGCCAGGGCTATTCCTGAAGCCCTCCCTGCCCATTTCTGTACAATTTGACTAGGGAATTAGTTATGGAAAAAGGTTGATAAGTGGTCTAAGCAGTAAAGTATATATTTTTATTACTAATTTGCTTCATTTAAGGAAATTTACCTGTTCAATATAATTTTTCAAGACTATAGAAGGAAGGACTTCATTTATTGGTCTTTGCATCTTATTATATTCTTGAGAAATATTTATTTAATTCTTTGATTTAGGTAAAATATCTCTTTTCTGACAAAACTGGAACTCTCACGTGCAATATCATGAACTTCAAGAAGTGCAGCATTGCTGGAGTAACCTACGGGTAAGTGCGTTTCTCTCTTACCTAACATATTACCTGTGTTCTTTCAACAAAATAAGTTTACTTTTAGCTTCTTAGTCAAATATCCTTCTTATGTTTTGAAAGAACTTTCTATCATGGATTTACATCTGCAATTGCCACTGAATGTGTTTAAAACTAAGTGAAACTTTGATCAGTTAAAACATAGTTTATTTTTGCAGATAACTTAGTGAAAAATCCTGGGGAATCTGTGAATTCATACATTTAATTTAAGAATTATAAATTTCTCACTCACGTTTGATCAGAACGTCTATCTTTTGATCATTGTTTTGTGACCACTCTGTTACTCCTGTCTCTGGCAGTCATTTCCCAGAACTGACAAGAGAGCCATCCTCAGATGACTTCTGGTGAGTGGATCCAGCACTTCCTGACACTTTGGTAGAAAAGGCTTTGGAATAATTTTATATTAGCGTTTCTCTCCTGCATATTTTTATATGTAAATATAAGTGGCTTACATATTATTCTGAAGGAGAGCCAGAATAAAATGTAAAGATAAACATGGTTTGAAAAGTGGAGGGAGATAAGATTTTGAACAGAGGATAGGCTGATGACCTGCAGATGGAGGCAGAGGATTGCTGATTTTCCCATGTAGCATACGTAGAATTTCACCTAAAATTCCTATGTCCCCTTCACTCCCCACTCCCTGGAGGCAGCCAACTTCAGCTTTTTACTTTAAAAAAATTGTTACTTTTATATCTCAAAATAATCTGTTTGTATTAATTTTTAAATAACAAACTTTAGACATCATTAGTCTTCCTGCCGTGGGAGGTGAGGATTTAGCTGCTCTGTGAGTGGTCTGTATGCACCCGAGCCCCTTCCTACTCCTGCTGCAGCTCCTCTGAAAGCATTTAGATTTTCTGTGTATCCTTGCCACCTACCATTTCAGCCATGAAACTTGGGGTAGGTTTATTTGGTGTTTTTGTTTTTTAACTTTTTTTTTTTTTTTTTTATCATTTTGGGCGTATAATGAACCACTAGTGGGCCATTTCCGTTTGCACATCTTCCTCTTATTACTGCTCAGAAATGTCTTTGTATTATTCATACAATGATTTTCCTCCCCTTCAACTTCCCTGCTTTGTCTGGAGATATTGAACGTCTTAATTGAGCCTCCAGTTTTGTTATCTGTCTACCCGCCTTTTCCATATTTTAAAAAAAGTTCTGGTGTTTTTTTCACCTTGACATTCTGTCCTTCATAATGGAGTTTCCACGTGGTCTCCTGTCCTTGCCCTTGCATGGCACTTCCCTTCCCTCCCCTCTCAGATGCTCCCTGCTGTCCACTGGGGTTTTCATTTCTTAATTTTATTTTGTGGACATTCTTCACAGGCCTGAGGAGTGTTAAGCAGGGTGCTCATGTACTTTTATTATTTTTTTATTGTGTAAAATAGGTGTAACATAAAATTTACCATTTCAACTATTTGAAGTGTATGATTCCATTGCATTAATTATATTCGTAATGTTTAGCAGCCATTACCACTATTCATTTCGAGAACTTTTTCATGTGAAAGTCTATGCCTATTAATAATTGTTCAGCTCCCCACCCCTCACAACCACCCTTCTACTTTGTCTCTGTGACTGCCTGTTCTAAGTGCCTGCTGTAAGTAGGGTAACATGGTATTTGTTTTTCATGTTTTCCTTATTTCCCTTAGCATGATATCTTCAGGGTTCATCCATGCTGTGGAATGTATCAGAATTTCCTTCCATTATTATTATTATTAATTTTGGAGACAGAGTCTTTCTCTGTTGCCCTGGCTAGAGTGCAGTGGTGTCATGATAGCTCACTGCAACCTCACGCTCCTGTGTTCAAGTAATCCTTCCATCTCAGCCTCCCTAGTAGCTGGGACTACGGGCACCTGCCACCATGCCCAGCTAATTTTTGTCTATTTTTGATAGAGATAGGGTCTTGCTCAGGCTTGTCTTGAACCACTGATCTCAAGCAGTCCTCCTGTCTTAGCCTCCCAGAGTGTTAGGATTATAGGCATGAGCCTCAGAATTTCCTTCCTTTTTAAGGCTGAATGATATTCCATTGCTGTCTGTACTGCATTTTGTTTATCCGTTCATCTGCTGAAAGGGATTTGTGTTGCTTCCACCATTTGGCTACTGTGAATAATGCTTCTGTGAACACTGATACACAAATGTCCATTTGAGTTCCTGCTTTCAATTCTTGGGAACATGTACTTAAAAGTGGAATTACTGGGTCATGTGGTAATTCTGTGTTGAACTTTTTGAGAAACTACCGTGATGATTTCTAGAGGACCGCTACCATTTTCCATTCCTGCCAGTAATGCACAAGGGTTTCATGTTCTCCACATCCCTGCCAACACCTGTTAGTTTGTATTTTTTGTTTATTTTTTGCCTAATGGCCATCCTAATGGGTGAGAAGTGGTACCTCATTGTGGTTTTGATTTCCGTTTTCTTTATAACTACTGACGGTGTCTGCATATAGGTTAAGGTTTGTGCACCACCAAGGCTGATTCCTAGGGACAGCGTGGTTGATGACTTGGTTCCTGTGGATGGTCAGCTAGGGCCCACTATTGTGTTCAGTGATCCCTGGATGTCAGTGTCCTGTGGGTCTCTCTTGTGAGCTGATAAGCTTTCTCCTCATGAGAAGAACTCTCCAGTTTCCTGCCAAGGGCTATTAATTTGGCTGCAACTGTTGAGAAGCCAAGTGGAAGCAGATGGTTGGTGATTGTACCTTTGTGTATACAGATATTTACTTAACACTCCTGTTTGGGGAGATGCCCTAGCCTACCCCCATGTGTGCCTGTGTTCCCGGCATCCCTGGGCTCAGGGTTACCCTGGCTTAATCTCTCTTTTATGGAAGGTTTAGTTGTCTGTCTGCATGGGCTGGTGGAGGGTTCTTGGAGGCTGAGTGCTCGTGCACTTGGAGCCTGCCCTATCTTCCCCCATCCCTGTGCTGCAAAGGTAGCTTGTGCTACAAAGGTAGCTTGTGCTACCATCTCCTCAGCCTTTGCAGGGTCTTGTCAGGGCATCAGCTTGTATTTCAGACACTCCTCTTTGCAAGCTGTTGGTTGCTGTTTTCTCTACTGTATTATACTCTGGTATCGATTCAGAGTTAAGACTGTCATCAACTCTGTTGTCTTCTTTCATTGTTTTTGTCTTGATAGAAGATTTCAGGAGGGAATAGAGATAAATGAATATACAGTAGATCCTTCATATTTTCATCAGTGTGATAGCCGGCACCATCATACCCAGTTTCCTTTCTTGTAGTGATTTGCCTTCTTCTCTGGCCACCTATTTGCCACCTTCTTTCTCCTACAGTAATTCCTCATTTTTACCTGCTTTGAGCAGACACTCTTAGGAGTTTTCCCTGGTAGGTGTTATGCAGGGATGAACTAAAATGACAAGGTCGTGTCATTGATCCTTGGCTTCTGATTCTTGTCCTTATAAACTATGTTGTTATTTATAATAACTTATAAAATTTGATATTTAGAATGAGGTTAAGGATTTACTGGGGTTTTTTGGTTTGTTTTCTTGAGACATAGTCTCACTATGTTGCTTTGGGTAGAGTGCTGTGGTGTCGCAGCTCATAGCAACCTTCAACTCTTGGGCTTAAGCCATTCTCTGCACCCACTGCAATGCCCAGCTATTTTTTGTTGTTGTTGTTGTTGTTGTTGTTGTTGTCATTGTTGTTTAGCAGACCCGGTCTGGGTTCGAACCCACCAGCCCTGGTGTGTGTGGCTGGTGCCCTAACCACTGAGCTACAGACACAGAGACAGATTTACTCTTTTGAGGCTTCAAATAATACATAGATTTTCCCAATCTTTAAAACTTTAATGTAAGTCTGTGGCATTTTCAGTGTGATTCTTCTCAAAGGCAAATTGTTACCAGGTTTGGGTTATCTTAACAGGGACTTTTGAATGGAACAAATACTTTGTGTTTTCTCTTACAGTCGCATCCCTCCTCCCCCCAGTGACTCATGTGACTTTGATGATCCCAGGCTGTTAAAGAACATCGAGGATCACCATGTAAGTGTTACATTGACTTCTAAGACATTCAATGAATAACATATGGTGCACTTTTCTTAATAGAGTGGAACCACGGTAAGTTGACCCAAGGAACGGTAGCAAACTGGTGAACATAGGAACGAGGCCCTCTGTGCTGATAACGTACATGTGCATTTCTAGTCTATGAAAATTAGGTCAGCTTAAGGAGGTGGTCAGTGTAGGGAGGTGGCCAGCTATGGACGTTCTGCTGTCTATATGCCTAGTGTCTGGAAAGTTGCAATTTTGGATCTGGGAAGAATCTCAATTTCATGGTGATACTTCTGAACAGTGATCTTAAACAGATGTTTTGTGGTGAATGTTGTACCCAAATTAGTATAAAGTTGAATTTAAATATGTCGTCACATTATAAAGTAGCACGCCACATCAAGATGAGCCTATCACAGAACTCTTGAACAGTTCTTATTTCTGTTGCTTTGTAAGATTCTGTAGTATGGTTTCTTCACAGTTGTGAATCTTATAGGTCATGTGTTTTGAAAGGTAATTGCATATCTTTTGACAGGGATGCTTTAGGAAGACTTTAGGAAACCAAAGGAAGATGCAATAACAGGTAGAACGTGTTGCATTCTGCTGCCTGTTAGACAACGGACACATTTCCTTTAACATTTGAGTCACTTTTGGGATGTAAAAAGGAAGTTGCATGGAAAGACCTCATTGGCCAAGGGTTATGCAGTAGATACACGTAGAAGTTAGGCTTAGAAACTGAGTCTGTTAGGTTCTTGCCTATGACTTCACACTTCCTCAACTATTACAGCAAGCCAGGACTAAGTGCAGGATCACAAGTCACTCTTATTTTATGGGCTACTCTGAAAAATGCCAACTTAGAAAATTACTCAATGACCAAAGCATTTCACAGCCAGTTTGCATTAGATTTAATGTGATTGATTTTTTATGAAAAGTAATTGTAGATTTAAAAGTAGGCAAACATGAGCAAAATTAAAACTTTCGTCTTTCTTAAATCGTGTTAAGAGATGGCTGTATTGAAAACCTTTTCTAAATTTTCAGTGAGATAAACTTTTTCTCCTCTAACATGGTTAGTACCTGTTTTTAATGCTGAAAACCTTCCCAGCTGTGGTTCTGAAGTGTGAGTTCGGCCTCCTGTCCACAAGTTGTGATGCAGCAACTCTGACTCTGTGCCTCCAGTGAGGCAGGTGAGATGGCCCAGGGCCACATGCAGGATGCCGCTGAAGTCCATGCCCCATGAGGCCAAGAGGTTCTTTCTTGGATTTTGATCTTCGAGGTAGACCCAGCTTCTAGACTAGAGGTTCTTCAAGCGGGAGAGTGGCAACTCCATAGAATCTTCTCTGCAGGAGGGTGGCTTTAGGATGTCAAAGAAACAGGTGCACTGTGAGGACTTGCTTTCTGAAAGAGGAAACACTGTTCTCAAAAACTGTTCAGACTGAGGGTAATTACCAAGGTGGGAGACTGAATGTGTCTGTTCAAGTTGGGATTGTGAAAGGGAAAGGTGGCAGGGTGACATTGAAGTGGCGTAGGGGACTGCACCTGGTCTGGTTTCATGAGTTTGTTCTCCTAGCATAGATCCACAGGTGAGCACATAGCAGAGGAAATGAGATGAGCTCAGTGAACTGAACACCGTGGAATCCCAGTGTTGGGTGAGGAATAGCAGCAACTATTGGTCTGCGTTTAATTAAGAGAGTCATTTATTATCCATTCACTTAGTAAATAGTTTAAGGGTCTAATTTGTAAAATACATCACTGTGTGTACTAGGGGAAGAGATGAATAAAAAACACTAAAGGAATTCCTGTTTGTTGGGAAAATAGACATAAAATTGTTAAGAGCAATTGTACATAATACGTTTTTGCATAAGATGCAACTCCCTGAGGAAATGATTTTGTGTAGACAGAGGAATCCTGTTTTCTTTGGTAGGTATCATGCCTCCTGTTACTGCTGACATGTGGGCAGGGTGGCCACCCACATGGATTGCGCTGATTTAAACATGGGCTGTCATAGGAACCCAATTACCTGGGACAAATCTTACTTTGGAGAAAAGATCCTCTGGGGACCAACCACATGCTACAAGGGTCCCAAATTTGCAATCTTTCAATTCTTAGCTCAGTTAATTGATGGTGTTTACTCCAAAGCTGGCCCCACATCGGTGTGTAGTAGGGTTCAGTGGGGTCTTAGTGTTTCAACCATCCATCCAAGCTCTTCTTGAGTCTGTCTCTGTTGATGTTTGAGTGGAAATGTGAGCATAGCAGATGTTCCTCCTGTCCTCTCCCTCAACCCATCTCTTCTTCTGTACCCCTCCTCCACAGCCACGGTGAATGGCAAGCATTTGGGAAAGAAACACCACTGTTTAGAGGATTAGGTGCTCTTCCTTTCTTCCTCACAGTCCAGTGTCCTAAGCCAAATTTCCTTTATTTCTGTGGGAAGGCCAGTGAGCGTAGGGGCAGATGGAGCCCCTGTGGCGAGGAAGCCCTGGCATGGGGAAATTATGATGAGCATCAAAAACACAGGGACTTTTAAGGGTATTTTAATAATCTGCATACTTGTAGTTTCAGGTGAAACATAATAAGGTCATTGACTTGGGAATTTACTTTCTATCTTTTATAAAGAAAGCCTCCTTGTCTATGTGTACCATTCCTTAAGCTTGCTTGAGTCCAGAAGCCTTTGAGGTAAATCTTCATCTTTACCATTTGACATTTAACATCTAGCTCCATTATAAATAATGAAGACCATTGGCTCTAATATTTTTCTTTGGGTAGAGGTGTGGGTTTTAATTAAAGAAACCCAATGGATATTTTGAAGCAGTCTAAATACAGGCCCATTAGATCATCAGATTGTTCATTTTGTCAACATAGGAAGGGTCATATGAGGGTTTAAGCTGTGGGTGCCCCACATGCCTGGCTAAATTTATGTCTTGGGACCACAGACTGTAATTAAACCATTTGACCCTCCTTCCCCCAAAGCTTACTTTGTTCCCAGGATACTACTTCCATCTGCTACAGAATTTTCTTTTTTTTTTTTTTTTTCTGGGTCATCATTCCTGATGTTCTGGGTCCTTTGGGACTGTTTTAAGCTTTGTGTGGGCTGATAACCAAGATGGAATTTGGCTTTTAGAGAATCAACCTATGGAGAATATTGGAGGACAGTGTACGTGATCCCTTGATTACATTGCCATCCAGTGACTTTGTTTGTGGAATAAATTTCCCAAGATTCATTAATGATGAAGATAGCTTTTTGGGGAATCATTATGCCTAGGACTCTTGAGCTTGCATCTTCAAGAAGAAAAATCATTTGTGCTGCTGTGTGTAAATTATTTAGATATGTGGTACCTGCTATTTGGTGTGCAAAAAAAATTTTAAGACATAATTTTCTGCTATATTTAAAGTTCAGTGATAAATAGAAAATATTTTTTAGATACATAGCATTTGAACATATTAAAAGCCGTTAACTGAAGGAAAAAGATTATATGATTCCATGTATATAAGATACCTAGATAGTCAGAGGACAGAAGGGAGATTACTAGGGGGAAGTAAGAATGTGGAGTTATTGTTTAATGGGCACAGAGTTTCTGTTGAGGAAAATGAAAAGTTTTGGGTATAGATCATGGTGATGGGTACATAGTATTATGAATACATTTCATGCCACTGAACTGTACACTGAAAATGGTTAAAATGACATTGTCTCAATATTTTATCCCAATAAAAACTGTAACTTCTAAAAAGATATACATACGTATGTGTGTGTACACATCCACAACATCCATAAACCTCAGATTAATTTTGTCTGTTTTCCCTAAGAGAATCAAAGCTAGATTAATTCTGTCTCACAAAATTTTTTAATCTTTACGGATCTTGTCTGGCTTAACACTCAAGATGAAAACTCAGTTTGAATATGTAACTCTTCTTTACAACTCTCGGAAAATATTTCATTATTAGGTTTATTTATTTTCCATAAAGTCAGAGACCTATTCTGTTGTTTCATCGCGTGACAAGTTCAGTTCTCAGATGCAGGGGAAGGCAATCTTAAAGCTTCATTCTCAAAGTACTTTTGGGTGAAGTTTCTTACCATTTTTGTAGTCTAGGCCTTGGAGTAAATTTTCTAACCTTACTTACTTGACTTTACTGAATGATAATTTAATGTATATTTCCTTTTCATGTAGGCTGATAAGAAGTAGCTATGTGAACAGCTGTGATTTGATTCCATAAAATCCCTCTTCAGTCACATTAACAAGTCAGGGAAGAAACTAAAAACATTTTTGTAGAAGTTATCATCCTTTTTTGACTAACAAGGGGAAGAAGAAAAACCCATGAAAAATAGCAAACACACAGGCGCTTCCTTAATGTAAAAAAGTAAGTTTGTCCCCAATTTATTGCCAGTGCCTACTTAAAAGGCACATATTAAAGACATTTGTCATTAAAGACCCCAGGACAAAGAGGCCTGTTCTCACCCCCTTTTTTGGACATCATTTTTGAAGTGTTAGCCCACGTTGCAGAGAACTGAACAAGTATGTACAGGAAGGAAAAGGGAAAGGGGAAAACGTGTCATTTGTACAGAGATAATTGTCACCTGGAAAGCCGAGGAGAGTCAACTGCAGCTTGGAGAGCCAGTAAGAGCTCAGTGACAAGTGGATGTTAATTTACAAAAATCAGTGTTTTTGCTTATATCTCAGCAATAAACTACTGTAAAATTTAATAGAAATAAGATTCCATTCATAATAAAAAATTAGATAAAATGCTTCACACAGTGCTTCAGGTAGTCACGCAATTATTTTTAACAACAACAACAAAAAAAATGAGATACTTGCATATGCCAGGTCCTATATTTAGAAGATCTAGAAGCTTTTAGTACATATTCTTAGATGGGATGACAGTATTAAGGTGTCATTGTTCTACTGGTTATAAATGTGGTCTAATCCCAATGAAAATTGTAGGATTTTTCTTTTCAGGGGGGACAGGAGCAATTGACTGAATACACATTTAGGGCAATTCTGGGTTTTGTTACTTAACAGAGATGGGTGAGGGATGCACTGCCTCACAGGTGGTAAGCCATTAGAAAGGTCAAGAACAGAGGAGGTGCAGGACAAAGGCCAGCCCGGGAGGGAAGACCTGGGACATGTGTTTTGTTGATTCCTAGTAGGCTTGCGCGGCCTGGGGATCTACCGCTGAAGATGGATCTTCCAGGTCTTCTAGAACGTGCTGAAAGCACCTGGGCGGTGCCAGAGGGTGCGTGGAGCAGTGCGCAGGCGTCGTATGCCCACACCCAGTGGCTGGGCCCATGTGCGGGAGACCCCGGGATGCGTGTGCGGTCGCTTGGGGGCCATGGGCCCCTGGGAGAGGCGGGTATCATGTGGGCCTGGAGGGGCTGGACGGCGCGGGGACCTGAAGTCCACACTAAGCACCGCCTGGGCGTTCAGCAGTGGTGGCTCGCACGTGGCACGACTGACGCCTAACCCGGCCTCGCACTTGCAGCCCACAGCCCCTTGCATACAGGAGTTCCTCACGCTTCTGGCCGTGTGCCACACGGTGGTTCCCGAGAAGGACGGAGACAACATCATCTACCAGGCCTCCTCGCCAGGTGAGCCCTTCTCGGGACCCGCGGGGGTTGCAGTTGTTGGACGAGACGCGTGCAGCCTGCCACGCGGTGCCGGCTGTGGCTACGGGTGGTGAAGCCCCACAGAGCCCGTGCTGGGCTCCTGTGACTGTCAGGCCCCCGTACGTGCAGAGGGGGGACTGAGCCATCTTGCGCGTCCCCTCAAAAGATACCGGGGCAGAGCGGAGGGCTATTTGGCTTCTTTCCCCATCCCCCACGCCTCCTGGACTTTCCGCTGCTGGGGAGGCTGTGCTTGCTCAGAGGACGTGTTTAGCTAGAAAGTTGTAGGAATAAGACTTAAGTTAATTAAAGAGAACTTAATCCCAAGCAAGAATAGCAAGAAAGCAAGGCGCTCTCGTGCTCACGAGTTAACACTCGTGGTTCTGCATCCTCCTCTCATCTCAGAAGCGCTCACAGGACCCTGGTGGTGGGAAGCGCGGTGCCTCTGTCCCCTGCGTTCTTACCACTGTGCCCGTGAAGCCAGGCCTCTTTAATCAGAGTGGGTTTTGTTAATTTGAAAAATGACTAACCAGAATTCTATTGTTATGACAACGTCTCAACTCCTCCCTGACAGATGAAGCTGCTTTGGTGAAAGGCGCTAAGAAGCTGGGCTTTGTCTTCACAGGCAGAACACCGTACTCAGTCATCATAGAAGCGGTAGGTGACACGTTTGTGCCTGTTTCAGATCACCTGCTTTTTTGAAAATTGTGTATTTGAAAGAGGACGTCTGTTGTCAATAGTGATAATTAAATTGCTAATTTTCTTTCCGTGGGAAATTAGACCTGTTCAAAAACTGGGGTGGCTATGTGATGATACTAGCTTATTTGTATTGTTTTGCTTTGCAATAATTTTACCCCCTTTAAAAATACTTCCCCGCAGTCTTTCTTTCTTTCTTTTTTTTTTT